GTCTGTACTGACTGTGTGTTGCCATGTTCATCCTCTACAGCAGGAGGTTCTAACCTGTATCACTGCTGTTCAGCTGCCTGGTTCATCGTCTTTCTCACGTGTTTCTTGTCTATTTTCTCCAGTGTTGTGAAACTGTATTCAGACCTGACTGGTGCAGGAAGTTTCAACTGTTCCTGTGTGATAAACACCCTGCTAGTGCTTCAAATAAAAGCCTCTTCCGGTTAATGTGAAAGACAAAGTGATCAGAAACCTTAAAGTAAAACGATACGATTCCACCAAACTGCTGCGTCAGCGAAACACAAACTGGTCGCTGTGGGACGTTTTTCTGTTCTTCCTGTTTATTTCTTTGTTTGTTTGTATGAATGTGCAGCCTGCAGCAGCGTTTAGAGCTCCACTGGCTCAGTCCCCGATGAGCTGCTAAAGTACATAAAACCAACAGCACACTGGGGACACAACGTTCATACTGCTGAGGTTCTACCGACTTCACTCCAGAACCAATGAGATCATCAGAACCACAACATGTTTAGAAATGTGTTACAGAAAGTTCTTCCCTTCATATCGTGAGGCTGTTTTGTAGGGAAATGTTCTATAAAGTGTTCCCTAAACGTTCAGCTGCAGGTTCTTTAGAGAACGTTCAGGAAACCATTTCAGAATCAGACGTCTTTGTTCCGTCTCAGTGACCAACAACCAGCCTTCACCTGCACTCACACAGCTGACGTGTTCGCTGCTGTTGTGTGTTCGTGTGGTTGTGTGTCGTCTTACTTTCGTCAGGGTTGGGTGCGGCCAGGATGGCGCTGTGCTGCTTCTTGACCTGCTCCACGTCCTCCGACAGCTTTTCTATACAGCCTCTGATCTCCTCCACCTGAACACAGCAACACAAAGTTCAACACTGACAGTCACAACGCAGTCTTAGCAACACTACATCACTTTGACCTCATTATTCCTGTTGTATTCATAGTGAAAGGACAACAGAAACTATGGTAAATTTACATCTCTTTGCATTTTTGTGTCTTTTTGTGGTAATTTTGCATCTCTTTGCAGTTGTTTTGTGTTTCTTTGAAGTCACTTTATGTCTACTTATGGTCTGTTTGCGTCTTTTGCTTCTGTACGTAGCTGATTTGCGTCTTTTTGTAGGACTTTTGCGTGTCTTTGTGGTCGTTTTGTGTCTCTGTAAAAGTTTTGTTGTATGTTGTTGGCATCTTTGTGCGGTCATTTTGCATCTCTTTGTGGTTGTTTTGTGCCACTTTGTAATCATTTTGCATTTCCTGTAGTGGATTTGCGTGTCTTTGTGGTCATATATGTCTCGATGCACTTGCTTCAGGTCTCTTGAAGTTTTTTTTTGTCTCTTTGAGGTCACTTCCTGCCTCTTTGTGGTCAGTAACTAACCCTTAAACAAGTCTTCATCCTAAAACTAATCATCAATGCGCCAGAATTTTAGTTTTTCTTAACTAAATCAGAAATTTGAGTCGAACCAGCACCACTGATTAATGTCACAGCTGATGGAGGATCTACGTCTGTGTGTTTGTTTTAGAGGACGATCCTCCTCCATCAGCTGTCTGCTGGTCTCGGCTCTCCCACCACCACACAGCAGAACCAATACTGCTATTGATCGCTGCTCTCAGCGTCTGATAATCTAATCCAGCTGTGAACTGATGCTGACGCTTCCTTGAAATCACTGAGCTGTGAAGATGTTTACATGTTTGGCTGCTGGTTGGACCAAAAAAGATATTTGATGACATTGTTTTAAATACATCACATCCTGTCATAAGTGATGCAGTCTGAGCGCCAGGAAGGAGGCAGATTTATTAGTTTTACATGTAATTAAATGAGGATTTCAACACTGACATGTGCAGTATGTTGGGGGTCAGAAGGGTCCGTGTGTCTCACCTGTTCGAAGAACTCATCCATGAAGTGGTCCCTGTCCACCTGCACCACCTCCTCATCATCGTCGCTGTCCTTAGCCTGCAGACAGGAAACAGCAGCTTTAAAACCGGCTTTTATTCTGTAACTCCGCAACTCTGCGGCCACGTCGAGGTTTGATGGATGAAGTGCCTTGTTTTAGTCACTTTATGTCTCTTTGTAGTTATTTTTTCTATCTTTGTTTTCACTCTGTGCCTTTGTTGCCACGGTGATGGCGGCGCGCATAGATGCAGCGCCCCCTTCAGGAGACAATGAAAGTGAACGCTTTGAGTGTCTTGTCTATCCCAGATGTTCATTCCACAAACCTTGCGGCCGGGAGACTTTGCTGGGCGTCAGGACAGTGGACGGTGCTGGAATTGCGGCGATCAGTTGTGATGTGGACATACGACACCAACATGGAGTCCGATCGGAGACGACACCAGCAGTTACCCGAGAGAGAAGGAAACGCAAACGGTACGAACGTAAACAAAGGAGGAGGAAGAGAGCTGGGATCCATGCTAGGCTAAAGGCTAACCCCTCCAGACCAGCAGGACCGTCCTCCTACTCTCCAATGTCCGCTCCCTCCATAACAAGCTGGACGAGCTACGTTTGCTGAGAGAAACCCACAGAGAGTGGAGGGACTGCTGTGTGTCTGCTTTAACAGAAACATGTCTCCATGACAGCATCCCAGACGGACATACAGCTGGAGGGGATGCAGACAGACAGCTAGCTCTGGGCAGCATCTGTAGCTTCACCATCGTCACACCATCATGTGTGTCTTTGTGTCCCTGAAGACCTTCCAGGACCTGAAGAGGTTCACCATGTTCAACGAATGGCGGCACGCATGGACGCAGCGCCCCCTTCAGGAGACAGCGAGAGTGAACGTTTAGTGTCTTATCCCAGACATTGATTCACCAAAACCTACTACTAATGAAATGATCCTGAAGAAACACTCTCTCATCTTGCCTGTACTACTGTGTATGTACAGCAACATGACAATAAACCTGATTTGATTTGTTGTCGCCTCAAATCTCTTTGCAGTCACTGTACATCTCTGTGCGTGCCTTTGTAGTTGTTCTGTCTCTTTTCAGTTGCTTTACGTCTCTTTGTAGTCGTTCTGTGCCTCTTTGTATTTGCTTTTTGTCAATGCATAAACACAATCCTGTGGCATTCTGAAAAATCTCTCACAGAGAAACAAAAAGTTGTAAACAAACAGACGAGTCCACAACCGTAAATTAAAATACTACAACTTGGTGTGATCCAGTATTTCTGTAGATTATTTTCACAGATTAGTCAGAAAAAAACAGTAAAGATATTCTCAGGGTCATTCACACGTCTTCAGCCAACAGTGAAAAAAACACCAACTTTATCCTCATGAAACAAACAAAAGAAGCAAGTGATCAGAGTTACGGAGCTGGAAGCAGCAAAATGTTTTCTCTGTCGCACAAAGAACACAACTTTATTTTTAATTAACCTCAATTCAACAAGAGACAACAGTAACCCAGTTCGGGCTGCAGCTCACGATGATATAAAAATTTAAAATAAGTTTAAAACAGATATTTGTACAGAAACCTGTCTTTAAAATGTCTTTAAGTCTATGCTCAGGCTACAGGAGAGCAGCTGAGGCAGACTGAAGTAAAGGCTAATTGAAAGTAAACCCGTTTCCAGTTACACTAAATGGATTTCTGTTATCGTACACCGAGACGTGTGTGTCTGTGTCTGTTCTACTGTTGTGTAACTTGCAGATAATGAAAATCTCCTCACTGATGTCTTTAACTGAGCAGCTCAACAAACTGGGACATCGAGTGGCTCACGGTGTCCTGCTGCAATAGAAAACTGCTAGTTAGCATTAGCATGCCTCTCACATAATGTAAACTTTAGCAGTTAGCATTGCTCATCAAAAATATCAGCTGATTAGTTACTAATCAATAATCTGCAGCTGAGGCATCATGGGAGCTGCAGTCAGTTCCAATATCAGTATAACCAAAACACACAGTTCACCAGGAAAACATTCTGTCTGTCCTAACACACAGTGTGTTCAAAGAGTATTCCAAAAGTACCGGCATGTCCTACTACATATCGTCAGATTTTGCAGTTTGCAGTAAACTTTCTGACCCACAATCCTTTGCAGTCTTACATCACAGTGTCTGAGTTTAAGTTCCAGTGGGTACTTTGTGAGGGCGACACAGGTGTGTGCTGGGGGATTGTGGGTACTGTAGTCCAAAATTAACTACATCAATTCATGTTGAAAACAATCTGAGGTGAAACTATAACTCCGGATAAGATTACGTAAAGTTTTCACTTTGTTGACAAAGAGAGAGCATATATTTAAAAAAAAAAATAAAAAATTTAAAAAATGATCTGCTGATGTCTTTCCTGAAAATTTTACACTCTACCCTTCAACACACAAAAATGTACACAAATATACACAGAGAAACGCTTATGAAACACAGAGACAATAATGCACAAAATCACACACAGAAAACACACCTATTCACACAATTACAGAAAAAAACATATCAGCACACAGACAATAACACATAAATGCGCACCAAAGACACAGAAAAACAACAAAAACCCACTGAACTCACAAAGAAATGCATATAAAACACACAAGCATACATAAAACACACAGAATTGCACATAAACACACACAGAAAACAGAAAAATGCACATTAAACACAAACTTACACAAAACACACTAAACACAAACAGAAATGCAAATAAAACTCAGACAAAAACACACAAACACACACTCTACTCTGAACAAACTTTGCTAAAAAAATGAGCTTCTAACTTAAAATCTTCAGATCTTCAGTTTTGTCAGTTTAAAGCTGGAATCTGGAGTCACCAAACAAACAGCTGCAGCAGAGAATTCTGGGAAACGAAGTCAACTGATGATGGAAACATTCAGAGGCAGAAAACACACACTCAGTTTGGAATAATCGCAAATCTGTGTGTGTGTGTTTCTCCTCTGCAGATCAGATCAATACAGACAGAAATAGACGATCAGCCGCCTCCACAACAAACACACACACACACACACACACACACACACACTCTGCAGTATGAAGCTGGACCAGCTGACGAACTCTGAGGCTGCACTTTATTATTATTACTATCATTTATTGATTTATTTTTCAACAGGTTCTAAAGTTCTGTCTGGTTCTGGATGTTTGTCTGATTCTTCCTGTGCCGGTTCAGTTTTATCTCCTGTTTTATGAATGTCGAAGCATTAATTTGCTCTTTGTGGACACTTAGAGTCCAGTTTTATGGTGCAGTTTTGAAAAAGAGTGTATTTTTATGAGGTTTTGATTTCTTGGCTTCACTGTTTACGATTTTTTAAGTGTTTATTGCTTGATTCTGTTTTTTTTTTGTGTGTCTGTTTGAGTTTAAAGTGGATTTTAAAGGTCTCACTTTGATTTCTGGAGGTTTGTGATTTGTTCTGTCCAGTTGATCAGCTCCAAACGCCACAAACTGCACAAGATTTACACTACATTACCCATGATCCCCTTGTGTCACACTCTGACTACGTGATCCTCTGCTGTCATGCTCTGAACACTACATTACCCATGATCCTCGGGTCAGACCGGCAGCAAGTTAAAAAACTAAACCCCAACAACACCTTCTTGCAGCTCTCTGACTGGACGTTTGCTGCTGAAATGCACCATGGGAGACGTAGTTAAATCCTCCATTAGCTTTGACTTTTAAAAATATCTGTCCTCAGGTGTGTGTCGTTCCTCCACTGAGACCGATTTCAGTGTGTGATGCAGATGATGTCAGATACACAACGGCGACCCGAGGCCACAATGTCACACAAAGGCACAAAGCAGACACGTGCAGCTGATGTGTCCAGATACTTCTGGTCACATCTACACCTGTACGTGTGTGTCTGTGTGGGTTTCAGGACAAACAGCCGCTGAGCATGATGGGAAACGGGCCTGCTCTCAGCCGATAAGATCCCTCCACCAATCAGCTGCTGGCATCAACAAAAGAAACACAAAAACACGCAAACATGCAATGATGTAAAAACACACAGACGCACACCTGTCAGACCTCATAAAGGCGTCACGGAGCAGCAGGGGCTGATGGGAAAAATGTTTCAGCCAACGCGGTGAAGAACAACGTCAGAGTATTTAAAGATCAGCTGATTGGTTAAAACCTGACTTCATTCTGTTCCTCAGTCGGCTTTAGTTTGATGTGAAGCTGATCTTTCACATTAAAACACTTTATTTTCTGCTAAACTGGATTTCCGATGCTGGAATCTGAAGATTTGATGTTTTTAGGGAAAAATCAGATTCATGATTCATCAGGAGATTATTTCTCTTTTCATGAATCCGTTTTTATTTCTGCGTTTCAGGTTTGTTGAGCTGTAATAAAGACAGAGTGTCTGAGTGAGTCCAGACCCTGAAGGCATCGCAGTGACAGCAGAGGACTCATCGACCTTCACTGATCTGATCTGTGAGACGTCCAGGAGATAGACAGAGCCGCCAGATAACCTCTGATACAGCTGCACAGCATGTGAGTCAAACAAAATAAAATTAACTAAAAACTGAAAACACAGGCTACGATAAGATAAAAGTATAACCAGCTACACTGAGCTAAATGAAATAGAACAATATAAGATTACAACAAAATACAAATTAAACTAAAATGAAAAAATAAATCAGTTTAAAATCAAATAAAAACTAAATAACATGAAAAAATAAATGTAATTGAACTAAAACTTCGCTCAAAATCTCATAAAAGATAAAATGAAAATAAAACCAATTAAAGCTAAACTAAAATAAATTCATAAAACAAAAGAAGATATTAAGAGATTTTGAGAGGAAAACTGATAATTAAAAAAAAGGAAATCTGCAATAGTTAGCAAAGCAGCTTAAATATGAGAACTTTTTTTAAAATTTTATTATTACATTATGAAATATTGTAAAATTTCACAAGTTAACAAATTTACAGTTTAACCCTCAAACTTGTTGAGTCAGCAGTGACACCATATTTGACTGTGATAATCAATCAATCAATCAATCAATCAATCAATCAATTAAATGGACTGTTTATGT